CCCAATAAGGCCCATATACCTCCCGGGGGGTTCCGATAACCTCCCGGTGATCCGGTATTGTCCCAATCTCACCCGGAACCTTTCCGGTGTCCAAATATAGTCGTCCAATATATCGATCTTTATGTCTCGACCATTTCGAGACTCCTCGTCAAGTCCGTGATCATATCCAGGACTCTGAACAACCTTCGGTACATCAAAATATATAAACTCATAATGAAATTGTCATCGTAACGTTAAGCGTGCGGACCCTACGAGTTCGAGAACAATGTAGACATGACCGAGACATGTCTCTGGTCAATAACCAATAGCGGAACTTGGATGCTCATATTGGCTCCTACATATTCTACGAAGATCTTTATCGGTCTGACCGCATAACAACATACGTTTGTTCCCTTTGTCATCGGTATGTTACTTGCCCGAGATTCGATCGTCGGTATCTCAATACCTAGTTCAATCTCGTTACCGGCAAGTCTCTTTACTCGTTCTGTAATACATCATCTTGCAACTAACTTATTAGTTGCATTGCTTGCAAGGCTTAAGTGATGTGCATTACCGAGAGGGCCCAGAGATACCTCTCCGACAATCAGAGTGACAAATCCTAATCTCGAAATACGCCAACCCAACATGTACCTTTGGAGACACCTGTAGAGCACCTTTATAATCACCCAGTTACGTTGTGACGTTTCGTAGCACAAAAAGTGTTCCTCTGGTAAACGGGAGTTGCATAATCTCATAGTCATAGGAACATGTATAAGTTATGAAGAAAACAATAGCAACATACTAAACGATTGGGTGCTAAGCTAATGGAATGAGTCATGTCAAACACATCATTCTCCTAATGATGTGATCCCATTAATCAAATGACAACTCATGTCTGAAACTGCAGATCAAGTTACTACCGAACCTCGTAGATCAACCAGAATAAGATCCGCACCAGAATGGTACGGTAATCCTGTTCTGGAAGTCATGCTACTAGATCATGATGAACCTACGAACTATGAAGAAGCGATGGTGAGCCCAGATTCTGCAAAATGGCCAGAAGCCATGAAATCTGAGATGGGATCCATGTATGAGAACAAAGTGTGGACTTTGGTTGACTTGCCCGTTGATCGACAAGCAATTGAGAATAAATGGATCTTCAAGAAGAAGACTGACGCTGACGGTAATGTTACTGTCTACAAAGCTTGACTTGTTGCAAAAGGTTTTCGACAAGTTCAAGGGATTGACTACGATGAGACCTTCTCACCCGTAGCGATGCTTAAGTCTATCTGAATCATGTTAGCAATTGCCGCATTTTATGATTATGAAATTTGGCAAATGGATGTTAAAACTACATTACTGAATGGATTTCTGAAAGAAGAGTTGTATATGATGCAGCCAGAAGGTTTTGTCGATCCAAAGGGAGCTAACAAAGTGTGCAAGCTCCAGCGATCCATATGGACTGATGCAAGCCTCTCGAAGTTGGAATAAACGCTTTGATAGTGTGATCAAAGCATTTTGTACAGACTTTTGGAGAAGCCTGTATTTACAAGAAAGTGAGTGGGATCTCTGTAGCATTTCTGATATTATATGTGGATGACATATTATTGATTGGAAATGATATAGAATTTATGGATAGCATAAAGGGATATTTGAATAAGAGTTTTTCAATGAAAGACCTCGGTGAAGCTGCTTACATATTGGGCATTAAGATCTATAGAGATAGATCAAGACGCTTAATTGGACTTTCACAAAGCACATACCTTGACAAAGTTTTGAAGAAGTTCAAAATGGATCAGGCAAAGAAAGGGTTCTTGCCTATGTTACAAGGTGTGAAGTTGAGTAAGACTCAATGTCCTGGTGCAGTTTGCGAATCAACCTGTGGTTGAGTTGGTTAGGTGGACAGTGGTATCCCCAACCCACCAGGGTTCAAATCCTGGTGCTCGCATTATTCCTGGATTTGTTTCAGGATTTCCAGCTATGCGCTTTCAGTGGGAGGAGACATTCCCGTCGACGACAAGGCGCAGTAGTAAATATTGGTCCAGAGAACAGGTGGCCATCTTCAATTCGGCCCATGCTGGAAACAATAATATAAATGCAGCTTTAATTCCTCCTTGACTAGTACTCCCTCCGTTTTCTTTAGTCTCTATAAAATTTGATGAAAGTCAAGCGATGCAAAGGTTGATCAAATTTATATCAAAAGATACCAAGATCTACAATACTAAATCTATATGGGTTCATAGGGATGAGTGTATGCGCGTGTATATGAGCGCTTGTGTTTGTACTGATGCTCAAAAAAAAATTGATCAAAGTCGAACTTTGTAAACTTTGACTAACTTTATAGGACAAAATATCAACATTCACAATACGGAATTAATATTAGTTGATGCGTCATGATATTAATTTTCATATCATATAGATTTAGTATTGTAGAGAAAGACGAAGACCGGAGTAGCGCCGAACTGCCGAGAAAGACGACCAAAGGGCGATCTCGCGCCACCAGTCTCTCCAGACCGTGGGGATGCAGCCCAGATCCTCACCGTTCCCATCACCTGTTAGAGATACAACACACAAGCGAACACGATGGAGAACGAAAACAAGCAAGGGGCACGAGATTTTAACGTGGAAAACCCCTCCAACACGAAGGGGAAAAAACCACAGGCGCCAGCCAGCCAAAGTTTACTATATCAGGGGAGGTTACAAACACCGGGGATTTACAACTGATCAACTATCCCGTGCGGCGACTTACAAGAGGTATATATAATACCGACGACGGGTCTCGCTCCGCTCGCTCGTCAGAAGTTAGGCTTTCTCTTTATACTTGAATTTGGAGCATAACATAACATCACCGCCAGCGCCCCGGGCTTAGCCAGCACACATCTTTGGGGGCGACGAGGTGTAGGAG